TTTAACTTGGCTTAAGTAGAACTTTTAAAAAGTACTAAGTTCCATTGTGTTCTTTATGAAACTCACAACAACAAAGGTGGTCCTAGAAGTTGCGATAAAAGTGCAAGCTTTCCTGAATTTGGTTTATTTAACCGCATGCGAACTCTAATGGAAGAGGCTGTTTGGATAAAATCGACGAGGTTCTCTTTCTTTGCGTCAAAACCCAGCGTTCTACTCCGGCTTCTCGGAGGCGTGACCCTAATGTCCTACAGATTAATATTTGTCGAAAGTTCCCTCCAGTTGAACATTAAAGAGGCTGATTTTCCTGGTTGACGACAAAATTCTAAATGAAAACTGCCATAGAGAATCTTGTAATTGACACCGTTTCTGTCCAACCCGAATGCCAATGTTAGTCACTATTTCAGTTTATGTGCCGGATTAGAATAATCTGCTTCCCTTTCTTTTTGCATTGGCACATACAATTTTATGCATAGGCAAAAAATACTCCCTACAAAGACCATTTATGGAAATCGGTTTGGATAGAAAATACAGTTTAATTTAGGGGCAAGAGTTGTTTAAGTAGTGCACCTCATATACCCCTAGTCCCAGCATTTTTCCTACAGAAATGGTTGTAATAGGGTTCTTGGGGGTGGGGAAATAGGACAAGTGGCGAAGGAAATGTTTTGAAGTAAGCGTTAAGTGAACAAAATGCAGTCGAATTTGTTTCCCGCGGCCACCGGGAGTAAGTCGTTGCGCATGTTAATTACAGGTAAGTTACGCGGACACTAGTAATCTTATTCCAGTACGGTAAGTTTGACTTCAGCTAAGCTGCAGTAGACGACTTCCTAACCACTATTTCGATTTTTCAGGAATGTCAAGAAACCTGAAGTTTTATAATCTGGTTTTTCAGCCATACGTTAAACGATAATGATGATTCGGAAAATCTATAGATATAAATCAAAATTTCCTGATATAATCCAATAAATGCATAAGGCAGTTATTAAAGCATCTTCCGCCGCCTTTCCTAATTCCACATCCCTAAAAACTTAAAACTACCGTTTTCTTAGGACAAGATATTGGGACTAGTGTGTAATGAAGTGCACTACTGTTCAGTGCATGCAGCAAGCGGCCGCAATCACAGCAGGCTATCGATCGGCCTACACGAGGCAAACGCATACAGGCAATCGAGCAATCATTAATCCAAAATTTAAACCGCACTCAGCCGCCTAGTCACAGCCAAACGTTCCGGTAGCCAAGCCAGAACATAAGCTGATTGGCTCGATGGACCTAGCTTAAACTCGTTTAATTGCCCTAAATGTGTTGTATCTGTTACCCCCAAATATTTGTGCTGACTTGCCTAAAGTGCTTGTCTGAGTAAACGCACTCTCTCACTCTGGCTGACAGGTCTTTTCTCTGTCTCTCTCGAATGGGCTCTTTGGTTTGGCGTTCATGTTAATTAGAAGTACAAGCAGCGAGTCTTAACAATTATCGACGAAGTGTTTTCTCTCCACGATGGAGGAATTATGCGTGGACTTGAAGCTAATGTTGCAATAGCAGCTAAAGCTGATGAAAACCCTCACCTCCAAGCTATCCATTTCATGTACCGGCCAATCGAGTTATGCTGGTGGCTCACAATCGTCGATTGAGGTTATATATTTGGTTCTTTGGGCTGACTTTAGGCGCAAAATTCTGTTTACTAGGATTACATTCCGTTTGGATCAGTGTACTGGTAGAAAATATAGGCGGAAATGGGCAAAATTTCGGCGGTTGTTGATATGCAAGGAGTTTCCTACGCTATTAAGCGCTGCGGAAAAATGCTTCTTGTTTGTTCATGTTGAACTACAAAAGAAAATTCATGCAGAGCAGGAACATTTTAATTATATCTATTTACAAAACGGAAACTTTTGTTTTGCCTCCAGGAAATTGAGGTTAGTGTACATACGAAATACAGCGCTATAGTGGAGAAAAAATCAATGAATTTAATTCACAAAAGTTTGCTCTACAAGTCTGTTACGTTTTGTGTCCTAAAGATTAGTAATAAGCTTACAGGAGACCAAAATGTGTTTTACTACGCCGTAATTAGTAGGCCTATTTGACTCTACATCAAGGTCACGGAATAAGATTCGTTTTCTAACTAACACAGTTAACTAACTCCATCCAAATGTTGTCAAAATATAGAAGAAATCAATGAATATATAAAATTGGAACGGAACAGGCAAAAGATTATCATGTTTAAGAATATTGGAGGATATGTTAGGTCACTCTGTTGTGCAAGTAAAACCAAAGAAAGGTGCCCTGAAGCAAAAGAACATATTGAAAACTGCTCTGGTTTACACAGAAATGTAAGTTCTTTCATTTCCAGCAGAGTTTTTTCCTCTAACTTTTAGGGACTTCAAAAACCGGTCAAAATATTCCATTTTGATCTTGACTTTATCTTCAAAACCTTTATCGTTACAGATATTCGACTTCGAAATATCTAACTAAAGCGCTTTTTGGGGAGGTAACTTGTTCTAGAAAGGTTTTTCATTAATCTTAGACGTATTCATTCCCGGCTCTTGTTGTGGAAATTCATTTTTCTCGGCAACGAGTTGACATGTTTGGGCGATTCTAAATTCATGACCCACACAGGCAGCCATCTAAGGAGGAATGTTTAAGAACTCATTGTTTGGGTAAATCCTTTTAAGATACTTCTTATTTCTGAGTTTTCGGTAAGTAGGTTGAACGAAATCGGTATTTATGGACAAACAAAGCAAAACAGTGAAATTCGTAAAGTGTTCAGCAGAATTCCGAAAACATTTCGCTGCTCGTCCCATTCGGACGGAAATTTCTTTCAATATACACAAGATGGTATGAATTTGATCACAAGTAAAACCGTAATCTAACTTTTAGTAAACTGACAGCCTATACGTGTGTGGCAATCAATGTGTTTTTATTCCGCTTAACAGCCGGGATATGAGTTCCATAGAAAATCTTTTTGCAATTGTCAATAGAAATTGATACAAAGC